TTAAGGAAATATGTTAGTAGCAAGGACTCTACTCCCATGATCCATAGGCCAAGCTAGCCAATTCACCTTAACTTCTCCTAATCCTTTGGAATAGAGGATTGTGAAGCCAATTTCTCCCCAAGCCCATGGGACACTGAAAATGAAAATGTTGGAATGATAACCTTCTAATCACCACAGAAGCATTGCGTTTTCAAGATTAGGAAGCCATAGCCACCTGACCAGAAACTTGGATCAACTCAGAGACATGGCTTCTGTGGGGAAGTGTGATCTGCCTAGGGTCTGTTAAAGTATTAATGACATTGAACTCTTAGTCCAACATAGGTGCAAAATTGTGGCCAAAATTGTGCTACCTCAACATATGTTTTCCAAAGGAAAGGTAGACTCCCCTAATTGATGGAAAGCTAGCCTCTTTCCCTTGGATGAGATCTTCCTTACATTTTCTGATCTAAAAAGTGGTCTCTGTTACTTTCTACCAGCTTCCAAATGAAGTTTTCCTGGCAGAGAGAGATGAGTGTCCTAGGAAAGGCTATGAGGGGAGTGTAACATCTGTTATGATAAGAAGGGAAGAGTATGGGTAACAATCATACTCCTGGAAGGGTGTTGCATAGCATGTGGCTTTGCATGGCTATGAATGACATCAATTCTCTCTATTCCAACTTCTTTCCTGTTTCTGTTTTTTAAAAACACAAACCATAAAACTCTTGCTGTTATGTACCTATGCATATCCCCTCCCCTCCATGAAAGTCATATCCCAATGATCTGTGGGATCATTGAAGCCCTTATATTAATATTAAAGTCCATGATTTTTTTCCTCCTCTTTTCTAGGCATTTTGAAAAGTAATTAAGCAATGCTCTATGTATTATAGAGTGCGGACTTCCTCTGTCTTCCTTGTCTCTTTGGTCTTCTTCTTTTTTTTTTTCTTTAGTGCTATTTTCAACTTCCTCATGAGAGACTGTGATGCCTAGTCCATGGCTCCACTGTCACTTAAGAGAAAAATAGTTTCTTATGTATATCCTGACAGAATTTTTCTGTTTTTTCATATGTTTTTTGTATGACTTTCATTCTTGAATGCTCTTGGGATAGTGTTTCTTAATTTATTCTCAGCAAGCTGTATGTAAACTTGTTCTCTTTACTTCCATTTGCTGCTTTATAATACAGTATTGATCATAATCTTCCATCATACTTCTCCATAAGATTTTACAAATGCATTTACAATATGAACTGCTGTTACCCTTAGCTGTCATATCTCTGTGCTTGGTGAGGAGATAAAGTTCTTAAGGGAATTTCTAGTTGCCTTTGGTCTTCTCATTGTGACAACTGATTTACACAAATTAAGCATTCTTAAAAATAGTGGTAGTCTGTATTGATTGCTATATACCAAGCCTACCAAGTCTCTTCTTGAAATATCCATGATACACAGGCATAGACCTTTTGTTTAGTCTATAAGTCTTTGACTTCTCTTACTCCTGAACCATGTTTTCTAATGCATTTTTCATCATCAAACTTAACTCCCACCTTTGCATTTAAGACACCAAGTAGTAAGGAATATTTTGATGTGCTAGCTATGTTGTCCATGGCAAGTCACTTACTTGCTATCTGCCCAAGTTTCTTCATCTGTAAATTGGAGATAATAAAAGGGTTGTTGTGAGGATACAGTATGAAAATATATGTAAAGCATTTTGTAAACCTTAAGGCACCACATAAATGTTTCTTTCTCTTTCTTTCTTTCTTTCTTTCTTTCTTTCTTTCTTTCTTTCTTCTTTCTTTCTTCTTTCTTCTCCTCTTCCTCCTCCTCCTCCTCCTCCTCTCCTCCTCCTCCTCCTCCTCCTCCTCCTCCTTCTTCTTCTTCTTCTTCCTTCTCCTCCTCCTCCCCTCCTCCCTCCTCCTCCTCCTTCTTCTTCTTCTTCTTCTCTCTTCTTCTTCTCTCTTCTTCTTCTTCTTCTTCTTCTTCTTCTTCTTCTTCTTCTTCTTCTTCTTCTTCTTTTCCCCTACAAAATTTTTTACAGAATTTCTCTCCCTACTCATACTTTGCAATTAATATTGGCAATCACTAACAACATCAATAAATAAACATTTGTTAATGGATTTAATTATCTTCTTGGTGTCTTTGCCAAATGATTCAGCATAAGCACTGTAATATGAGATGACCAAATGCCCTATGAAGTGATGTTTTTTGTTGCTTTTGGATTCTGGATAATGTTAACTCCATTATTTACTATTCCAAGTGGAACCTGTGAGCCATCCTTTCATTGAATGTAACTTCCTTTTATTTTCTGTTTTTATTTATAGTAGGTTTCATTTATAGCTTGCAGAAAGGTCAAGATTGATGATTCACATCCTCTAGTCATTGGTCACTGAACAAGGATAGCTCATTTAGAGAACCAACACTAAAATATTGTTTATAGATGGCTTAAAAACTGTGATTCTTACTTAATACCCTTTAACTTCTCCCTTGCATTTCTCCCCTTCTCTTCAATCATAGGGCTGACACCATCAGGGAAGGATGAAGGAAAATTAAAATGTATAAATGTCAGCTAATATTATTATTATTCTATGATGCTTTTATGCTGTAATGAGTTCTAATCAATCTGCCCTAAAGACTTCATGAGAGGAAGTGTGGTATAGTGGATAGAGATCCAGCCTAGGAGTCAGGAACCTGGGTTCAAGCACTTTTCTTATCATAAACTGATTACTACCCTGGGCAAGTCATTTAACCTTTCAATACTCAGACAATTCTCTTAAGACTGTAAGTTCTAGAACATTGGTTGATCTGTGCTGTTGGAGGGAGTTTTCTTATTGGGAGTTCATAATCATGCTCCAGCACTGGTATCTTCAACTCTATCTTTTTGGCTCCTTTTTATGTGTTATCTTCCCCTATTAGAATGAAACTTCTTTGAGGACAGAGTCTGGTTTTTGTTCATTTGTTTGTTTTATGCTTGTATTTGTATTCTCAGCACTTAGTACGGTGCTTGGAACACAAATACTTAATAAATGCTTGTTGTTGATATTGTTCTGGGAGAAATCTTAGGTTTAGGATAGAAAATAAAAGATTTGATGAATCCTTAAAAAAATACATTCAACATCTTTGAACAAGAGACTCCATTACTGGGTTTATATGCCAACAAAGTCATAGATAAGACACAACAGAATATTTATAGCAGCAATTTTTGTGATAGCAAAGAGTTGGAAACAAAAAATAGATGCCTAATGATTGAGGAATTGCTCAACAAACTGTGGCACATGAATGTAAAGGAGTTTTACCGTTTTGTAAGAAATGAGGTATATGAGGAATACAGAGAAGCATGGAAAAATCTATATGAACTGATCCAGAGTGAAATAAAACCAAGACCCAAGAAAATAATATTCACAATAACCACAACGATGTAACAACCACACACATATACACACAAAATGAATATAATGAAATTAGAAAGATCAAGCATGACTCAAATGAAGAACCATGAGAAGACATCCTTAACCCAACCTTTTGTAGAAGTGGGAGGTCCTCATATGTTTTATATATTAAACATAATTTCAGGCTTTTCAATGTATTGATCGATTAAGCTGATTTTCCCTCTTCTTTTTCTTTTTTTCTGTTTAGAATTTTTTTTATATGGTGTGACTTGTTAGGAAGGGGATAGGAAGGCTACTGAGGAAAACTATGATTATGTAAAAAAACAGAAGACTTTAATCAAAAAAGTAAATAAAGCAACTACTGACAGTTAAAATTCACCCAAAATGCCAAACTTCAGTGCCAATTCTAACTTTCTACTTTGTATTAGTTATTTGAGTATAAGTCCTTTGGGGAAAAAAAAGGATCACATACCCCCACTTAGTTTTGGATCTTCCATAGAGGTTAGCCAGGTACTTTTTGTGTTAAAAAATGCTTATGGAATTGAATTGACCTGGCAACAGTGGGAAGCTCCTTCAGTCATCTATTTAAATGCTGATGTGAAGGAGAAGACCACTATTTTGTCAAATAGGAAAGGAGACTCCGTGATGTCCTAGCACTACCAGGAAAAATGTCAGTTTATATTCTCCTACCCAGTTCAAAGAAAGATTTCAGAGAATGACTTGAAGCTGTCAGGGTTTTGAATGGTTCTAAGAATACTCTCTGGACATAGAATTTAAAGCCTCAACATTCATAGTCATGGCAATGCTTACAGGCTGGCCACCCTGTATACTTTAATAATATTTTTCTGCTCTTCAGGTATTTGTTAATTCTCATATTCACATAGCTCACCAAACAGCTTAATCTAAAATTTTCTGATAGCAGACAAGACTAATTTTCTCCTTTTTTGTAGGGGATTGACTATCCTTCAAGTATGGAAGACAAACATCTTTACCAACAGAGAAAAGAGACTAGCATAAAGAGGTTATTTCTTAGAAATTATGATTTAAAAAACCCCAACCAAAAAAAAATCCTTAGGAAGAGCCATTAAACAAACAAATTCTAAAACTAAAGATTAATTTCATAATATTATTGTGGTGAGATCTCAGTAGTTTCCCATGAGAAAGAAATTCTTTCGGACCAGGAGTTCTTAGCCTTTTTTTGTGTCATGGACCCCTTTGGTAGTCTAGTGAAGCCTATGGCTCTTTCTCAGAATAAGTTTTAAAAAATCGTAATTGAAAGATATGTTAAATTTTATTTAGAGGCTAGTAAAAATAAAGATGTAATTTTTCCCTATCCAAATTCCTGGACCCTGTAAAGTCCATCCATGTACCCTGGGTTAAGAACCCATGTTTTAGAATTTTCCCCTATTTGGGATGAAGACAATCAGCTATGTGGCTCAAGAAAAAAAGCCAAGGAACCAGGGCCTTCTTGGTTGACTAGCAGGTTTTGAGGAGGGAGATGGGAAATACAAGGACTTTTTTTCATTTTTCCTTTAAATTAGAAAGCTGACATCTAGCATTCCCTTGAAAAATGAAAGTAAACAGGAAGAACCCTGGGATATCTAAGAGACTAGCAAAAGAAGTCAATGAGATTAATGGTACTTACATTTCCGAACACAGTGAGATGGTATTGGAGCTAGACTGTTGCGCACAAAAGGAATATCCCTCACTTTGGTTCTGTCGAGGGGAAAGTGCTGAAAATTTTGCCCTGTGGACAAATATAATCACATAATTCAGTTGAGAACAAAATGCTCATGATCATATTGAGTGGGGAGTGGAATCAGAAAGGTTGTTAGGGTTTAGGAACTTTGAAGAGTCCAAAAAAAGGGAGGAAAGATTACTTGGAATGATTTCTTGAATGAATTGTATCCACATGAATATTTACCTAAAAGTATATTAAAATCATAGAGCCTTTGAGTTGGAATTGTCCCAACCCACATCTCCTCCAGCAGGTCACTAACAGAAGTCATCCAGGCTCTACTTGAACATCTCTAGTGATTGGGTGCTCAGTCCCAAATAAGCCATTTTGGGGTGGGTAGGTCTAATTGTTAGGAAGTTCTTCCTCATACTGAGTTAACATCTGCTTTCCTGGTAACATCTGTTCACAGGCTATAGATCTGTTTTGGGCAAAATAGAACTAGCCCTTCTTTCACACGATAATCCTTTTAATATTTGAAGTTAGTGGTCATGCCCCTTTCCTCTAAGTCTTCTCCCCTCCAGACTAAAAGTTCCTACATTTTTTCAACTGGGCTTCATATGACATGCTTTTATAACTACATGCTTTCAGAGTCTAACACTTTGCATGGTGCCTGACACATAGTAGGTGCTTAACAAAGACTTATTGACTGGGTCAAAAGGTACCTACACAATCATCTAGTCCAACCTATGCCAGAACAAGAATGCCCCCCTACAACATCCTTGGCAAGTGGTCATCTTGCACATACTCGAAAATCTCCAATGAAGAGAGAAATCCATTACTTCCCCTCCCAACTTTTCCAAGGCAGTCCATCCCACTTTTGGATAAGTCAGTCAGGATTGAATAATGGATAGAAGGCTAGCTTCAAAGCCAAGAAGACCTGGGTTCAAGTCCTGCTTCTGACACATATTGGCTATGGGTTCCTGGGCAAGTCCCTTAATCTCTTGGTGCTCTAAGTAACTCTCTAAGACTATTAATTGCTAAGGAGGTGCTAACCTGTATTGAGAGACGGAATTTTCTTACCTGAGAGTTTCCTATATCAATGAAATCAGAGATTGGATCTCTATTCCTTGTGATTATTATCAGGTTTCTACCCATTCCTAATATTGCCCTCTGGATCTGAAAATATAGCTAATCCCACTTCTGCACGTCATCTCTTCAGACATCTGAAGCTATTTTTCATTTCTCCAGCCCCCAACTTTTCTCTTTTCCAGGTGAAACATTCCCAGTTTCTTCAACTTGTCTTGATGTGGCATGTCCTCCAGTCACCTCACCATTCTGATTGCTCCTCAATATTTTTACCAGAAGAGCCATAGAGCCAAATAAATATTTCCAGTGTGGCCTGACCTGGGCAGAGCTCAGATAACCCTCAGAAGGGTTATCTCCTTTCACTCTGGACCCTATTCAGTCTTCTATTAATTCAAGTTAAGGTCACTTCTGCCATTTTACAAGTACTATTGAGTTACATTGAGCTTGTAGCCCACAAAACCCCCCAGGATCCTTCTCACATGCGCTGCTTTCTAGGTATGCTTCGCCCATTTTCATATATATATATATATATATATATATATATATATATATATATATATATATTTTTTTTTTTGCCAATTCAAGTATTAGGCTATATTTATCCCTGTTCAATTTCATCTTATCAGATTTGGGTTATGGTGCTAGCCTGTTGAGGACTTTTCAGATACTAAGACTGTCATGTAATGCATTAGCTATATCTTCCAACTTTGTGTCCTGTGTGCATTTGAGCAGCATGTAAACTATGCTTTCATCCAAACAGTTAATAAAAATGCTGAACAGCTCAGGACTAAGGATAAATCTGTCGGGTACAACACTAGAGACTTCCTTCCAAATTGTCATGGACCTGTTAATCACTATTCTTTGGGTACATTCTTTGGATCATAACCAGAATCCACTTTGTTTCTATTACTTAGCTTACATGCTCCAGCTTATCCAGAAGTATAGTATGAAAGAGCCTTTAAAAAGCTTTGCTGAAACTGAGGTTGGATCCTAGGATAATAGATTCAGGGTTGGAATGGACCATAAAAACTCTCTAGTCCAATCTACTCACTTTACAGATGTTTTACTAGTTCTCTGTTATCTAGATCTACCTACTAATCTAGTAACTCCGTCAAAAAAGAAAACAAAGTCAAGCCCATTTATTTAGAGTCTTACTCTTTCTCTTTTAAAAAAATTAAGACACCATTTTCTTGTCTCCATTTATTTGGCACATAATCTGTCCTCCATGATTTTTTCAGTAAGCTAGGCCTGGGCTTGGTAACTTGAACCTGTTGAGACCAACTAGGTCCATTCTTACTATCTCTTCACTTATGGGTGGATTTCAGTGCCTGTTAACCTTTTTTATTTTTATTTTTTTGGTCAAGCCTTCCAAATCCCCAAATCAACCTCCTTCACAGTGAAACAAAAGCAAAACAGAAATTCATTAGCTTTGTTTTTTCTCTTTCTCTCATCATCCCATCTGCTGAGCATTCTTTTTTTTTCTCCTTTCTGTTGTCATTTTATTGTGTCAGCATGTATGGGATAGGGGTGGGGGGAATGGGACAGTGAGATATTTTTGGTCATAGGAACTTATGCTAGTGTTCTAGCATTGTAGATTTTACAGTTGGAAAGGTTCATATAAAATCATAGTATCACAGACCATGGGCTGAAAAAGACCTTAAAAGACATAAAATCCAACCCTCTTATCTTATATGAGAAATCCAAGACCCATGAAGGGCAAATGATCTGCCCAAAATTGCGTGTGTACATTGCATCAGAGCTAGCTTTTGAATTCTGGTCCTCTGACTCTTTCCACTGTGCCATAATAGTCACAGCTGTGTTCCCTTTCCCACCTGTGTGATCTTGGGTCAAGTCTTTGAAACTGAAAAACATTGTATTTGATAAAGTGGAAAACAAATTACCTTGGGGCGAGGAGGAACCTGTTTAATTAAAAAAAAATTTCCCAGGAAACCTGGAAAGTAATTTGGGAAAATTTAGGTTTAGACCAACACTATATACCACATTCTCTGATACATTCCAAATGACTCTGTAATTTTGATGTTAAAACTCATGCTGTTAAAAAAGAGAGAGAGAGAAACATCATGTAGCTCTCAGCTATGGAAAGGAGGTCTACTCTTTTTTTAAAATATAAATTTATTTATTTTTAGTTTTCAACATTCACTTCCACAAGTTTTTGAGTTCCAAATTTTCTCCCCATCTCATCCCTCCCCCACCCAAGAGGCATGCATTCTGAATACCCCTTCTCCTAATCTGCCCTCCCTTCTATCTCTCCCCTTCTTTATCCCTTCCCCTTCAATTTTCCTATAAGGCAGGATAGATTTCTATACCCCATTTCCTGTATATCTTATTTCCCAACTGCATGTGAAAACATTTTTTTTTAACTTTTGTTTTTAAAACTTTGGGTTCCAAATTTTGTCCCTTCCTCCCTCCCCACCCACTCTCATTGAGAAGGCAAGTAATTCGATACAGGTTATACATGTGTAGTCATGTAAAACACTTCCATAGTAGTCATGTTGTGAAAAACTATATTTCCCTTCATCCTATCCCCCCCCATTTATTCTATTCTCTTTTGACCCTGTCCTTCCTTAGAAGTGTTTGCTTCTGATTAGCCCCTCCCCTAATCTGCCCTCCCTCTATCATCCCCTGCTCTCTTGTCCCCTTCCCCCCATTTTCCTGTAGGGTAAGATAGATTTCCATACCCAATTGAATGCGTATGTCATGCTCTCTTTAAGCTAAATCCAATGAGAATAAGATTCACTCAATCCCTCTCACCTTCCCCTATTTCCCCTCCACTGTAAAAGCCTTTTCTTTCTCTTTTATGTGAGATAATTTACCCAATTCTACCTCTCCCTTTCTCCCCCTCTCCATATAATCCTCTCTCACCCCTTAATTTTGTTCTCCAGATATCACCCTTTCATCTTCAACTCACCCTGTACTCTCTCTCTTCTCTCTCTCTCTCTCTCTCTCTCTCTCTCTCTCTCTCCACATACATATAATTTTTTCCCTCTAACTACTCTAATACTGACAAAGGACTCATGAGTTTCAAACAGCATCTTTCCACGCAGAATGTAAACAGTTCAACCTTAATAAATCTCTCTAAGATTTCTCTTTCTTGTTTACCTCTTTATGTTTCTCTTGAGTCTTGTATCTGAAAGTCAAATTTTCTATTCAGCTCTGGTCTTTTCATCAAGAATGCTTGAAAGTCCTCTATTTCACTGAATGTCTATTTCCCCCCCTGAAGGATTAAGCTCAGTTTTGCTGGGTAGGTGATTCTTAGTTGTAGTCCTATCTCCTTTGCCCTCCAGAATATTCCAAACCTTGCAGTCGCTTAATGTAGAAGCTGTTAAATCTTGTGTTATCCTGATTATGTTAAATTGTTTCTTTCTGTCTGCTTGCAATATTTTCTCCTTGACCTGGGAACTCTGGAATTTGGCTACAATATTCCTAGGAGTTTTCCTTTGGGATCTCTTTCAGGAGGAGATTGTGGATTCTTTCAATTTCTATTTGCCCTCTGGTTCTAAATATCAGGGCAGTTTTCCTTGATAATTTCTTGAAAGATGATGTCTAGGCTATTTTTTTGATCATGGCTTTTAGATAGTCCAATAATTTTTAAATTCTCTCTCCTGGATCTATTTTCCAGGTCAGTTGTTTTTCCAATGAGATATTTCACATTGTTTTCTATTTTTCATTCTTTTGGATTTGTTTTACAATGTCTTGATTTCTCATAAAGTCACTAGCTTCCAATTACTCCATTCTAATTTTTAAGGAAGTATTTTCTTCAGTAAGCTTTTGGACTTCCTTTTCCATTTGGCCAATTTTTTTTTAAGGCATTCTTCTCCTCATTGGCTTTTTGGACCTCTTTTGCCATTTGGGTTAGGCTATTTTTTAAGGTGTTATTTTCTTCAGTATTTTTTGGGTCTCCTTTAGCAAGCTGTTGACTTGTTTTTCATGATTTTCTTGCATCACTCTCAGTTTTTCCTCTA